GTTCGAAGCCCTCGTGTGAAGTGCGAACCGCATAATAGATGATAACGGCACCTGCTGCCGCGGCGACGGCAGCTTGCAACTTGGGGAGTGACGTCACTAGCCTTGCATACATAAAAGAAGAACCCGCATACATTCTCACCGTACGTCCGGACACAGCGGATGCTACGAGCTGTCTTAGCCAATTCCGTTTAGTGGACGCGGCCTGTGATACGCTTTCCGCGCGTCGCTGTGCCCCCTCTTTATAGGGTCACGTGACACGCACACGGCCTACGATTGGCTCTGATGGCTCGTAACATCCGCTGCGCTTAATCGTAAGATGAAACGGGGTATGGCAACTGATTTCATTGTTGCTGCAACACCGCGATAAATAGGCCACGCATAGTTAGGACTCCCGAATAGCAGCGTGACTACTAGGGGCGGCAAAGGGAAAAAAACGGCAATACGACCAGCGCCGGCGTGCTGCGACCGGCGGCGGCATTTCCTGTAGTGCAGCAGGAAATCGTTGCAGGCTTCGCTACCAACCACCTTCATAGCGTGAATTGGAGCCCCATTTTTTTTATGAACAGCATTTTTGACGGGATAGAACTTTCTAAAGCGATCTTTGGTGAGAATCAGTTTTTCAAACCTTTCTTGGCGTAAAGACCAATGTTTCTTCCCGATTGGCACCTTTTATCCAAGAGTGCTAATCGGATGTACATCATCGAATGTTTGGCTCCGCAATACATTTGATGATGTACTTTATTGTATCACTCACTCATTCACTCTATACTGTACAGTCGCACAATTTTATGGGTGGCCTCAACAAAAATATTGATCCGGACCCGCTGATATCTGCATCCGACCTGCAGCCTCCGGAATCCGCATCCGATCCGCAACCTGCCAAATCCGATTCATTTTGATCCGCATCCGGCAGTCTACTGCGGATATCCACGGATGATCCGTGGGTAATCTGCGGATATAACAAATTCTACCTATCGTTGTAGATAGGTGGTCGATCAAGTCGCCGAATCCTTGCATTTGTCGCGTAGCGCTATCTGTCGGCAGCACATCGAAGTAGGCGAGCACCGTCAGCTTAACCAGGCTTAAAACTGCCGTCCAGCGATTAATCAAGCTAGGTGGCCTTGGGTGGCGTCGGCGGCGTTCCTCGTCTTGAGAAACTTCACTTGTGACATTGTGTTCATGCCAGTGAGCGTTGCTAAATAAAAAAACACGGCACTGTGGCATTTTCAGAGCATAGCTCTCACTCAACCGCCCGCTAGAGAAAAAAAAATGAAAGCCGTTTACAACTCCCTGTAACGCCGAATTAGAGCGCAGCTCTTGAGGAGGAGGAGGGAAGGGTACTGAGGTTCACGTGTTTTCAGGGGAGGAGTCAAGGGACCTCAAGGGGGGGGGGGGTCACGTGACCTTGGTGGGGTCACATGACCCCCTCCCCAAGGTCACATGGGGGTCACGTGACCTGGGGGTGTCACGTGACCACGGGGGTCACGTGACCTCAGGGGGTCACGTGACCCCGAGAAAAAATTTTCCGCTACATTTAGCGGGGAAATTTTTTCCGCTAAGTTTAGCGGGGAAATTTTTTCCGCTAGATTTAGCGGGGAAATCTTTCCGCTAGATTTAGCGGTGAATTTTACAGCTAAATTTAGCGGAGAAATTTTTCCGCTAGATTTAGCGGGGAAATTTTCCGCTAAATTTAGCGGGGAAATTTTTTTGCTAGATTTAGCGGGGAAATTTTCCCGCTAGATTTAGCGGGGGAATTTTTTCAGCTAAATTTGGCGGGGAAATTTTTCCGCTAGACTTAGCTGGGAAGTTTTTGCGCTAAACTTAGCGGGGAAATTTTTCCGCTAGATTTAGCGGGGAAGTTTTTCCGCTCGATTTAGCGGGGAAATTTTTCCGCTAGATTTAGCGGGGAAATGTTTCCGCTATATTTAGCGGGGAATTTTTCAGCTAAATTTAGCGGAGAAATTTTTCCGCTAGATTTAGCGGGGAAATTAATCCGCTAAATTTAGCGGGGAAATTTTTCCGCTAGATTTAGCGGGGAAATGTTTCCGCTAGATTTAGTGGGGGAATTTTTAAGCTAAATTTAGCGGGGAAATTTTTCCGCTAGACTTAGCTGGGAAGTTTTTCCGCTAAATTTAGCGGGGAAATTTTTCTGCTAGATTTAGCGGGGAAGTTTTTCCGCTAGATCTAGTGGAGAAACGTTTCCGCTAAATTTAGCGGGGAAATTTTTCCGCTAGATTTAGCGGGGAAATTTACCCATAATGCACCGCGCGGTTACGCCGACGACGACGCCGACGGCGACGCCAACGGCGACGCCGACGCCGCTCAAGCCGGGAACGGGCGCCTAAGAGCTGCGCTCTAAAAAGAGTCGTCGTGCACTTAGCGTAACATAAGGTAAATATAGGAGAACCAGAAGTATTTTAGAGTGCAGCTCTTCGGCGCGCGTTTATGGGTTGAGCGGCGTCGGCGTCGCAGTCCGCGTCGCCGTAACCGCGCTAGATTTAGCGGGAAAACTGAAATCACATGACGTCAACACGAGTTCAATTCCCCTCTCAATTTAACGGGGAAATTCAGTTTCTCCGCTAGATTTAGCGGACAAATTCAGTTTTAGAGCGCAGCTCTAAGGGGTCCGTTTCCGGCTTGAGCGGCGTCGGCGTTGGCGTCGCCGTCGGCGTAACCGCGAGGTCACGTGACCTCGGGTGGTCACGTGACCCCTGAGGTCACGTGACCCCCTAAAGTCACGTGACCCCCTTGAGGTCACGTGACCCCCTGTCATATGACCCCCTTCAGGTCACGTGACCCCCTCATGTCACGTGACCCCCTCAGGTCACGTGTCCCCCTCAGGTCGCGTGATCCGGCTCAGATCACGTTACCCCCTGAGGCCATGTGACCCCCCTAAAGTCACGTGACCCCCTTGGGGACACGTGACCCCCCGAGTTCACGTGACCCCCCTGAAGTCACGTGACCCCCGCGGTCACGTGACCCCCCTGACGTCACGCGAGCCCCCTTAGGTCACGTGACCTCAAGGAGTCACCTATCCCTCAGTACGCTTCCATCTTCCTCCTCAAGAGCTGCGCTCCAATTCGGCGTTACAGGGAGTTGTAAACGGCTTTCACTTTTTTTTCCGCCATATTTAGCGGAAAAATTGAGGTCACGTGACCTCAACAGCAATTTAATTCCCCGCTAAATTTTACGGGGAATTGAATAGCTGTTAAGGTCACGTGGCGTCATTTTTTTAGTTATATTGAGCGGGGAAATTCTGGGAGGAGGAGGGCAGGGCATGGAAGGGGAGAGGAGGAGGCGGATGGAAGAACGAGAAGGATGAGAAGGGGGTGGGGAGAGAGAAGGAAAGGAGGAGGAGGAGGAGGAAAGGAGAGGAGGACGAGGAGAAGACCAGGAGGGGAGGAGGACAGGGTACAGAGGAGGAGGAAGGGCATACCCTCCCCTCAGTCCCCCCTCCTCCTCCTCCTCTTCCTCGAGAGCTGCGCTCGAATTCTGCATTACAGGGATTTGTAAACGTCTTTCATTTTAAAGCGCATCTCTTAGGCACCCGTTTGCGGCTTAAGCGGCTTCGGCGTCGCCGTCGGCGTAACCGCGCGTGGGACTATGGGACGTTCTCACAACGACGTCACACGTGCCGTCACGTGAGACGTGACATCACTCTGCGCTTAAATTTAGCGGGAATCTTTCCACACTAAAATTAGTGGGGAAAGTTTCCCACTAAAATTAGCGTAAGAAGTTTCGCACTATATTTAGCGGAAACATTTCTCTGAAAAAAATTCCCCGCCAAATTTAGTGGCAAATTTTCCCCGCTAAATTTAGCAGAAAAATTCCCAGCAAAATTTAGCAGCAATTAATTTCCTGCTGGAAAATCTCCCCACTAACTTTAGAGAAAAATTCCCCCGCTAAATTTAGCAGAAGCTCTTCTTTGCCAAATATAAAGGAAGAATTTCCCTCTAAATTCAGCGGAAAAATTTCCCCGCTGAATTTAGTGAAAAAAACGTCCCCGCTAAATTTTGCTGAAAGCTTTCTCAGTAAATTTTGCGGCAATATTTCCCCGTTAAGTTTAACGGAACGATTTTCCCGCTAAATTTAGCAGAAAAAATTACCCGCTAAATTTAGCGGAAATATTTCCCCACTAAATTTAGCGGGACATTTAGCGAAAACTCTCCGCTAAATGTGAGGGGACAAGAAAAGGAGGACGGGAAGTGGAAGAGGGGCATACCTTCCCGTTCGCACCCTCCCCTCCTCCTCCTCAACAGCTGCAGTCTAATAAGGCATTACAGAGAATCGTAAACATCTTTAATTTTTTTTATCTCCTTTTAGGAGTTCTGGATTTCCACTAACGTTACGTTATTTTTTTTTCGGTCATGCCCAGACGCTGGCATTATTGAGAATGCTTGTTTAATGCAAGATGCTTGGGTGGCACATAAAAAGAGCGCCATATTTTATTTGTTTTTTAGTTATGGCAGGTTTTATACCGCCTAAACTTGTAACTGAATAACGAGCAGAATAATTTAGTTACCTGAATGCTGACACCTACTATAGCACATGTTTACGACAAGCAAGCAATCACCAATTGAAATGCGCCAGTAAATAAAGGACGAGAACAAACCAAATCCTAAAAAATAAGGGCCTTACGTTTCGAGGCCACGTCGGGTCGTCTTCAAGGGATAACTATGACGATGGCCGTTGACGAGCAGCATTTTTTTATCTTCTTCTTTAAGGGATGACACAGCCCGTTAACATAGACTTTTGGCAAAGCGCCAAGGGACCTACTTATGTTTCTTTGCGTCATTTGAGTGTACTGATTTCACGAACACTCTAAATTGAGGGTTAGTTTCTGCATGTATGATGCTGGTGCTGTTTAAAGCAATCCTGTGGTCTCTGATGTCGCAGTGCTCAGCGACTACGCTGCGCTCATGGTCGAACTCGCGCACGTTGTTTTCTTTTTGGCGGATTATTTTATTGAAACAGATTTCTTTCAGAGGGATTTCTCTTAAATGTTTACTGTCTTGAAATCCGTGAGAATCGGCAGATATTTATAGCTAGCCTAGTGGAGGCAAATTTATTGATTATCCCTTTTCAGTTACACTCTGATATTCGTGTGGTCAATGATATTCTCCATAAAGGGTCATTTCTTTGATTTGAGTCTGTGTTCTTAATCGTTGGTACAACAAACCGCCTATGCAGCTAATTTTAGTTATCATGATGTCTTTATTTCCGAAATAAATATAAACGACGTGCAAGTATTGTAGTAGATTAGATTGCGAGGAGAGTGACAACACGGAAACACTGTCAATCACCATCCTAATTTGTAATTCATCTGTTATCAAGAGTATTATTGCACATCTCATGACAGGTCGTCGGTGGCGCATTGGGGACGGCGCCGCAGACTACCCTTGAGATTCTAAGTGCCTGCCCTGTGACAGATAGTCCTTACAGGTGAGTCACTGTTCATGACACCCCTATATCTATGACAAGTCAAAAAGATACTGAAAATGATCTATTCATATACATTCAAACACTGCATAAGAGCGTACTCAAGCGCTGTTCTATCAAAATTAGGAGTCGTAAAAATAAATCAAAGATTAAGGTAATATAAAGCTTTTAGGAAAGGTGTATTTAGCGTAATTTTGCTTTGTGAGTGTAGGTTTCTGGAGAAAAAGAATAAAATAAAATATATTATTTTTATGCAAAGCGACAAAATCGGCACCAAACCATCTGGTTGGCTCTGTTACTTACAGATGGCGTTAATTGATAACAAATACCTCCGACTAGCATAACAATACCAACAATTTATAAGTAGACGTTTCATCTCCTATGCGGGAGACATCATCAGTGCAGCCTAGGAACGCCCGACTAGCTACCAGCAAGCAAAAGCTTGCTTCTTCCCTCTCTTCACCCGTAGCGCTGGTTCTGCCGACTTTTTCGTCCATGGCATACGGGAGGCATCATCATCGTCAAGAGACATCGTCGGCTCTCGTTGCAACTTTTTTTCGTCCGTCGTAGATGTGAAGTTAAATGAAACGTTATTTCAGGATGTCAGTGTAGACGTCGGGGAGGAGGCCGCGGTTAGAATTACAGGCGGATGGGTCACTGCGAATACACCATGATTCCAGAAACGGAGAGATACATTGTTGTGTCTAGGAGGTGCTTGCGGCGAACGTGCACCCCTGCTTTTGGAACATTTGTGCACTTATTCGTACTGTGTACAGCATCGCTACCCTGGGACAACTGAGAGAGTACCTCAACCAGGCAACCAAGATTATCCGCATGGAATGTCATCAACACTTCAATCGTGAGTGCCTGAATCACAGTGTGATGCATTTAGCTCTTCGTTGCAGGCCTAAGGAAGAAGCAAGCGTTTGGTTGCTTGTAGCTAGTCGGGTGTTCCTAGGCTGCACTGATGATATCTCGCGCATAGGAGACGAAACGTCTACTTATACATTGTTGGTATTGTTATGCAAGTCGGAGGTATTTCTTTTTAATTATGAATCCCGGCTTTTGGAAAAAAATTTTGTTTACAGATGGCCCTACATAAGACTATAACTTGAAAGCTTGTTCGATATGAACACTTTGAAAAAGATCCAGAAGATCCGAGCTTATGTGGAGTCATCTATCAACGACGCAGTTTGTTTCATTGAAAATAAAACTAAAGCATCCTTTTCTTTTTGCCAGATGCATAGATTTACCAAATTTTCAATGCTAAATGCACCACCTAATAAAAAGACTAGTTAGAAGTCTCATTGTAATATCTTCGTTGGCTTATTTACAAAATCAGCAGCAAATATCAATTTCTAATTCTTTTGTTTTATTACCCAAAGCACGAAGGTCGTACTCCGATTTCTTGATCCAATACCACATTGAGGTTCCTTGTCGACTACAATTGGTGACCCTGTATTTTTCAAACGACTTTTTCTTGACGAGCACCATGGCTAACAGTAACGACCACGCCCAAACATCGGGGCTGCAGGAACAGCAGCAGCAACCATCTTCCGTGCCATCACTGGCTCTGAAACTCCGACCGTTTTGGCCGCTAACCCTGCGCTATGGTTTGCCCAAGTGGAGGCCAAGCTGAGCACCCGAAAAATTACGGCACAAATGACGAAGTTTCATCACGTCATCGCTGCGCTGTCACCAACTGAGGCACCTGAAGTCTGGGACCCCATCCTGACTTCTACCGATGGCAACCCGTTCGGCAAACTGAACCTCGAACTTGTACGCCGCATTTCGGCGTCAGAACAGGAACGTCTCCCACAACTCCTGACGGCCCAAGATCTTGGATACAGGATACCTTCCCAGATGCTTCGTCGCATAACTCAGCTGCTCGGATAAAAGGCCACAAACGTGGACGGCTCCATCCTGCGCCAGCTGCTCTGCAGCGCGTCCCCGCCAACGTACCCATGGTTTTGACGTCGGGGGGTGACGTTCCACTCCACGACCTCGTATAGCTCTCGCGGACAAGGTGCACGAGGTGGCGTCATCCACGGTCTCCAGCATCCAGGCTCTTCCCCAGCCACAACAGGCGACTGTGAGTGCAAGCTCTGCTTCCCCGTCCAGCGCCGAATTCTGCACGGTCCAATCGGAAATCCGGAACCTGACAAAGGCCATTACTGCGCTCCAAACCTAACACTGTAGATCTCCGTAACACAGTTCTGGCTACCGCAGCCGGTCTCACTCCCGGTCATCTTCGACCAACGTATGCTGGTACCATTACACATTGGGGGCCAAGAAAATTGGTGCGGACCACCTTGCACAGCGGGAGCGGGAAATGGGATGCCTTTGCACTAAAGTCGGCGAACAGTGCGGAACAAACGGGGTGACGGCTTTTCTTCGTCAGTGACAAGCCAACTGGCCTCTAGTATATTGGTCGACACTGGAGCCGACGTCAGTCTTTCTGCAGCCCCCAGCGAGCGTCGTCAAACACCTTGCGCACTCTCACAAGCAGTGTACGGAAGCTCCATCCCTGTTTTTGGAGAACGACCCCAGACCGTCGACCTTGGACTCCGACCTTATCTTTCGTCGCATTCTCTATGTTGCCGGGACTCAATATACCATCCTCGGCGCCCTTTTTCTCCGGAGCTTTGGATTATCGGTGCACGTTCGCCGCAAACGCCTCCTAGACACATCAACGCATCTCTCCGTATCGAGAAGGCATCCAGAACGTTACTGCTCTGCCTCGCTGACATTCCACAGAACGGTACCTACCGTTTTTCTAACATCCTCAAAGAGTATCTCGACATCACCCTCGCCTGCAACACTGAGGTTCCCGTGCGACGTAACGTCATGCACCATATCGAAACATCAGGACCTCCAGTGCACACAAGACCACGGCGGCTCCCCCCCCCCCCCCCCCCCCCCGCACAAACTGCTGATCGCTCGTCAATAGTTCGAGAATATGCTTCACCTCGTAATCATCCCCCCGTCCGAGAGTCCATGGTCATCGCCATTGCACATGGTCCAACAAGTAACACCTGAAGACTGGCGAACATGTGGGGAATACCGGGCTCTCAACCGAATCACGACAGCCGACCGCCATCCAGTGCCTCACATTCATTATTTCACGACGCTCAACGGCCCCACGATCCTTTCCAAAATTGATGTGGTCCGGGCGTACTACCAAATTCCAGTTGAACAGGCTAAAATCGAGAAGACCCCGGTCACAACAATATTCAGTTTCTTTGATTCCGTCAGAATGCCATTTGGACTCAAAAATGCTGTCCAGACGTTTCTGCGTTTCGACGACCAGGTGCTGCGCGGTGTGCCGTTTTGCTACGCCTATATCGACGACATCCTCGTTGCAAGCGGCTCCGTCGAAGATCACGAACAACTTCTGCGTACGTTCTTCGCTCACCTGACGGACTACGGCATCGTCGTCAATGTCAGCAAGTGTGTGATCGGCAAGGATTAACTGGACTTCCTCTGACACAAAGTCAACGCATAGGGTATTCGCCGTCTTGACATCAAAGTGCAGGCAATACACGAATTCCCCCAGCCCGTCAATAAAAAAACCACGACGTGAGTTTTTGGGAATGCTTAATTTATACCGCCGCTTTTACCCAACTGCACCGAGAAACGTCAACCACAGACGCGCTTGTTGAAAGAAAAGCACAGCGAAACCGCAGAACTTCAGTGGGACTATCCTGCCCGTTAGGCATTTCACCGCGCCACAGAGCTCCTTGTAGAGTGCACAAAGCTGGCACACCCGAACGAAAACGCGTCGCTTACCCTGGTGACTGACGCCTCAGCCACCTCGGTGGGTGTGGTGCTATAGGTGGTGGTCGATAGGTATCCTCACCGTTGTCGTTCTTCTCACGCTAGCTGTCATCAACCGAGCAACGTTACACTTAGCGCTGGGCGTCAATTAAACGATTTAAACAAATTAATCGATACCGTTTAGTCGATTAATTAATCGCTTAATCGTTCGCTCATTTTCATGCATAATGTTTTTAAAGTTTTCTTTTTTTGCCATTGCTGAATTATGATAAACGAGGCAATGTGCAATTTTTTTAAAAATGAATTGAGGTGTTTCTTTGAGAACAGTCAAAGGACACCCACACTCGCAAGTTATTACGTCAGCCGCAAAAGCAAGGAGGTTTGTTGACATCCTCCCAAATTATCGCGCTCCTTCGATTGTTCACAATAGTCTCTGCTGAGCTAAATGGAAATTCGCGCGGTTTCTGATGAGGCGGGACGCATCTAACCCTCTCCCCTTGTTTCAAGTTACAAATCTCGACCCTACCGTTTACTTAGTTCAATATTCCACCTGAAGGTTTCACTTCATACAGGTATACTCGTCTGCACCTGCGTAATAAGAGTATTATTTCAAGCTTAATTTATTTTGTTAGTCAAAATTTAACCAATTAACCGGTTAAAACAAATTAGTCGCGATTAAAGCAATAGTAGATTAATCGGCAGGTTATTCGATAAAAGACCCAGCCCTAGTTACAGTGCCTTCGGTCGAGAACTGTTGGCAGTGTACTTGGCAGTAAGGAATTTCCGCCATTTCGGGGAAGGTCGCTACTTCGCCATAATGACCGACCACTAACCACTTGAGCAGACCTTCCGCCACTCGCAGCCGGATGGTGGAACTCGTTACCAACGGGAGCTACTTCAGATGTCCTGCGTTGCGGAATTTATATCCGACGTTCACCATATCCGAGGTCGCGACAACGTTGTTGCTGAGGCACTCTCTCAGAAAAATATTTGCGAACTAGAATCCTCTGCAGTAGTCGACTTCACGGAAATGGCGACTGCTCAGCAGACGGACAGCTAGTTGCAGAACCTGCATGACGGGCCAAGTACACTCGAGCTCCGGATAGTCGCACTACCAATGTGCGACACGGAGCTTATGTGCGGCACCTCCACCGGAACGCCTCGACCCTACGTACCCGAACCTTATTGACGCAAGGTGTTCGGCAATTGTATTGTTCGGCAATTGT